ACTGGCAAAATCTTAAAATTCGACACAACGTAGATGACATGCATATTGAGAAAATATATGTGATAACATAGTATCAACTCTCCTACAAGATGCAAACAAGTCGAAGGATGACCTACGGGCGCGCCAAGACCTGACTGCTTTGAATATCCGGAATGATTTACAAGCTCAAGATGTTGGCCTTAAAAAATTAATGTTGCCTCTGTCTCGTGTTACAATGTCAAATGAGCAGATGCATCGATTTTGTAAAATTCTCAAATCGGTAAAGTCGTCGGATGGTTACTCTGCTAACATTTCAAATAATGTCCAGGTGCAAGAGAGAAAACTCTTAGGTCTGAAGACCCATGATTATCACGTTCTTCTTCTTCAATTGCTTCCAAATGCAATCTGTAACAATATGGAAAAAGAAGCATCGAAGATTATTATTGAGTATTGTGGATTCTTCAGAAAATTATGCTTTAAAGTCATAGATGAAGATGAATTTAAAAAACTTAAAGCCGAGGTCCGAGTTACTCTATACAATATGGAAGTAATATTCCCTCCTTTATTTTTTACAATTATGGTCCATCTTATCCAGCATCTTACAAGAGACGTTAGAATCACCGGTCTTGTTACTTATCGTTGGATGTATCCGATTTAAAGGTTAAGGTTTTTGTTACATTCATTAATTATATATGTATTTTAAAAATTATCTTGCTAATAATTACCTCTTCTTATAACTTTAAGATACTTGGTCTCTATAAAACACAATGTTCGCAATCGAGCTTGTCCCGAGGGCTCGGTAGCTGAAGGATATGTATCTAACGAATGCTTTGTGTTTGCATCACGTTACATGCGTAAGAATAAAACCACATATCAAGCACCTGATAAGGTAAAGAAAGCATGATAAATATTTAAGATCTCTCTTAGATCAAATTCGTGCGTATGTGTTGGAAAACCATGATATGTTCGAAGACTATCGAAGATAACAACTAAAATCAGTAATATATATGAGAAATATTCATTTTACATATAGTTTATCAATACAAACTTACATATTATTTATATAAGAGACATTTGGAGAAGCTTAAGAATAAAATAACATGTAGGAATGCAGCGCATAATATTCAGAAAAGACATAAAAAGAATTTTTTAATTGGTTCAGAATTGACGTAAGTGTTTTACAATTAATTGTTGAACATTCATAATATAACATCATCTAAATATTCTCAAATTGTTTGGCTTAGGTTGAAAATTCACTTCTTGATGGCACTACATATACCAGATAAAATTATTATTCATGCACAACGCTCTTCTCACGAAGTGAGACGTTATAATGAGTATTTGGTCAATGGATATAAATTTCGAACGCAAGAGACAGATGATAGGAGGATAACCCAGAATAGTGGGTCATGAGTTTGTTTGCTCAAGAATGTTTTTTAAGTATAAGAGATCAAAACCCAATTCTAGCTAACATACTATATTATGGCCAATTTGAAGATATTGTTGAGGTAATTTACGGGTTTGGAAAACTAAAATAATGTAGTTACACGATGTTCAAGGTTCAGTGGTGTCCTACAAAAAACAAAATAATCATTATGGATTTGTACTTTTCAATCTCCTTCGAGAAGTATATACGGATGAGAAATTCATTTTTACAGAACAAGTTGATCAATGCTTCTTCGTGAAAGATCTGAATGTCATGTCTGATTGGGTGGTTTTGTACAAGGAGCCAATATCTGTTATTCTTCCTAATAACAATGAAAAAATATTGAAAAAAGTGAAGATAATTATAGTAAACCAATTGGGTCATATGATGACGTTTGGCATGAATTCTCTTACACACAGAATATGGCGCTTGATGTAGGTATGAACTATGTTACACCGTATTACCGATAGTCAAAATATAATAATAAAATCAATAATGCATTTCATAATAATATATTTATGTATATATTTTTTCTTAACTATGTTAAAAATTGAATTTGCAGATGAGGAGGGCGTGGAGGCTCTTTGACCCGGAGGGTGATCGATCATGGAGTATCACCCGCGGGTACCGATGATGATGATACACCACCATCTCCGGATGTAGATATAAAAAAAAATTTTAATATTTTTTGTAAATTATTAGTTATCTAACTCATAGTGTTCATTTGTTGCAAATACAGGTTATTCATCACCCGACCCCTCTAATGCAACACCAGAACCATCCCCCGACGCAGGTATTCATTATTTAATATTTGATAATGGTCAATTTAAATTTATATTAATGATTCTCTTTTCTTACGTAGGTGCTACTTGGACCCCGGCATTTCCTTCGTATACATTCCATACTGACTTGCATCCGAAGACGCAAGACTATCTCAGTTTACCCTTTCCTCTGGACTCTCAGAAGTCCAAGGCTGACTCAAGGAAGTACCACCCACATGCTGCGAGAAAGTTGGAGGAAATGATTCCTATGTTGGAGACTAGGAAAGCTGTTGCACTCGCAGTAAAAGAAAGAGAGATAGCGAATGGTAAATTGTATAAATACTTTTAATTTTTACATTTATATATTATATGATATATTATCATGTTGTTATTATTGTAGGTGCTAAGCCAGATCGCATAGAGGGACGATGTGGCGGAGGTAAGCCTGAGTCTAAACAACCACCAAGAGGAATGAGGGCCATTATTCGGTGGAATAGTTATAATTTGCCCGCTGGTCCTTGGTCTTCCAGATTGAATGCATATATTGGGGTTCTCATGCGTAGAGCGAACATCATCAAGCCATGGTTAAACATCAGACAAGGAGTTCAATAATATATTTGATATGAGCATACTACTTAAGATAAGACTAGGAATATCTACCTTGCTCAAAGCTTATTTTCCCAAAAACAAATCAATTTCTTCTCCCTAATATCTTTAGTCTCTCGTTATCTTCTTCTTCTTCTTCTTTTGAATTTTTTTTTTTGTGTTGTGCGGCGAGACAAAGATGGGAGCGAGAGAAATAGGCGGACGGAAAAAAAGAAGGAGTTGGGTAGGGTTTTGGGCTGTTCATAAGAGTCCTCTTTACTAATAGAACCCTCTAACAATTTTTGCATAAAAGTCCATTTACTTTTCTTTATATATATTGCCAAATAAAACTTAAGATTATTACAATCTGCAAGATCGGCAACTCCGTTCTCCACAACACCCAATATATCTTGATATTCAAATAGTATCTTCATCTACACTCTCCACCGGTGATAATTCTTCACATCCAATGTAGTAATAGAAGGCAACGTAGTCTCGATTAGATTGTTCATGGCTCTGATACCAATGTTGGATCAAAACACTATTAAAACTCAAATTAACAAATAAGTATATGAAGTGTTGCAGGGAGAAGCAAAACAAAGTTTTTTTTTATTCTCAGGCTTTATCAATACACAGCTACAGGGACTAGTTAAATAGTTTTAGCAATCTAATGTTACAAGAATTCTAATATATGAACCAATTCCTAGTAGAAGTAAACTCCTATAGATAGAACTAACTATTTTAATGATAATCTAATTGAATTTGGATTAGCTTCAACACAACGAGCTCAAAAGCAGGGATGACATTGAATAAAGAAGGATTACTGGTAATAATCAGTAGTGAATTGAAGGACCACGATGCTTGGTCATTGGTGCACTGGCAAGATCTAACATTTTGTAAGATTGCTGAGAAAAAAATATGGATATGGCTGTTGCAGCAAAACCCTTTGGCTGTCTGCTGTCTTGCAAAGAGAGACTCTAAATTGACTCTAATACCATTTTAGGACTAAATAAACTGGTTTTATTTATATGTTAAAGAATAAAGTAACACCCTATATTTATAGAATTAATGACTACACACGGAAGATAGTTAAAATGTTGTATAATACAGTACAATGCAGCACAACCTTTAATAGGTAAGCATTGATATGTCTTGAATTAGTGCTGCAGTTTCTTATCAAAAGTTCGCCGTTGATATCCATGTTTGGATTTGTAACATAAGACTGGTATATGTTTCGTGTTATCATATTTTTTTTCAGTTTTTAAAAGCTCAACATTTTCATTAGATTGCTTAATGCGTGTGATGTTTCCGTACATGTCATAAGGTTGATGTCATTTCCTTGCTTAAAGAGTTACTAATTCCCTTCATATTCGCAGAAGAATGGTAACAATCGAATTTTGGGACAAGTTAAACCTCGATTCATTGTCAAATCAATCAAGAAATCAATGACATGAAAGCTAAAAGAAATTAGTGAATCAGCTTACTGTGACAGCCTATTATCAGTGAAGGTTGTGCTCTTTCACATTACAAAAATTACAAAGAACGTATGCACTTACTAAATGCCTGATGCTCCTACCTGACAAACAAATTATATAGATACATACGTCATATGTGGACAAAATGTTTTGTAAAATTTTGTCATATTGGATTTTCCTGCACAGCCGTACATATTTTTCCCTTTTCCACCCATGTCCATGTAGAGCATTTCACTCATTTTCAATAAAATAAATAGTCAGTAATTGGTAAAGAAAGAGAGTTATGCTAAAGAGCATGCTACTCTCCTTGAACTTGACTATGTTTTATTTCGAACCATAACAAAACTTGCTGGCTGTTTCCAGACTCCAACTCTTGACTTGTAGGCGGCTGTAGCTGTTTTTCATATAGAGATGTGAGAAGCAAATTATGTTTAAGGTTTACACTCAAACCAGCTTTCAGCTATTTGTCTTATGAATCTGAGATATTTTCATTTACTGATAGAAGACAATTGGTGCATTTCTATCCTTTCCCTCTCTTCTTACCTTTTCTATAATCTAATTGAGTTTAGATAGTGATAAGGCTAGAAAGATTCAAAATGACATGAGAACTTCTATCTATAGAGAGAAATGACTTAATAATCCGAGGATAATTCAAACAAACATGATTACCGTTAAAAGTCTTTTAAAAAGTAAGCACCAAAATAGTTGGCTGATATTATTTGTTCCCTTTGCAAAGTTTACTTGCAGGCAGTTGGAGAGACTGGATTTTGACCTCTAATGAGGAGAAACTGTGAGTAGAAAAAAATGGCAGGGTCTATCATGAATGAACATTGTAATGAATTGAAAACCATTATCTTATTTTAAAATCTCTTGGGCTTATATAGGCCCTCACAAACTTACTCTTAGACCCTTCATATTATTAATATGTCAACACTCCTCCTCAAGATGGGCGAAAGATATCCACTAAGCCCATCTTGTCACATCTTCTAATTATATCTACCGAGCTAAGTCCCTTAGTCAGACAGTCTGCTACCTAATCCTTAGTTGGAACATGACTTAACTCTAGTAGTCACTGTCCAACTTCTCTTTGATGAAGAACCTATCAATCTCGATGTGTTTGGTTCTATCATGCTGCACTGGGTTGTTGGCAATACTGATGGCTGACTTGTTGTCACACCACAGCTTCATCTTGGCTCCTTGATCCAGCTTCAGCTCCACCAGCATACTCTTCAGCCACAGTAACTCTACAACTCCCAAGGTCATAGCTCTATACTCTGCCTCAGCTGTCGATCTCGCCACTACTGGCTGCTTCTTACTCTTCCACCAGACCAAGTTACCTCCTATAAAGATGCAGTATCCTGTGGTGGACCTCCTGTCATCAGCACAACTAGCCCAATCAAAGTTGCAGTAATCCTTAATGCTCACGTGTCCATTCTTCCTGAATATCAGTTCTTTTCTGGGAGCACTCTTCAAATACCTCAAAATCTGGTACACTGCGTCCATATGATCCTTCCTCGGATCATGCATGTAGCGACTCACCACGCTCACTGTAAAAGAGATATCGGGACGTGTGTGACTCAAATAGATCAACCTGCCCACCAGCCTCTTGTATTTGTCACGATCAACTGGTTCTCCAGCTTCAGCACCCAGTTTGAACTTCTGGTCGATCGGTGTAGTTGCAGGTTTTCACCCTAACATCCCTGTCTCTTTTAGAAGATTTATTGCATACTTCCTTTGGGAAAGAAAAATCCCCTCCGCTCCTCGAGCTATCAATCCTAAGAAAGTATCGAAGCAAGCCAAGATCATTCACCTTGAATTCCTTACCCAGTTTCACTTTGAGTTGGGCAATCTCCTTCTCATTATCCCCTGTAATAATCATATCATCCACATATACCGTAAGCATGGTAATGTTGCCTCCACTCCGTCGAAAGAACACAGTATGATCAGCGTTAATTTGTTCGTACCCCATACCTATCATAGCCCTCCTGAATCTGTCGAACCAAGCATGGGGAGACCGCTTTATCCCATAGAGAGACTTCTTCAATCTGTAGACCTTGCCCACTGTTTGATCTGTGTTGAATCCTTGTGGTATCTCCATGTATACCTCTTCCACTAGATCTCCATGTAGAAATACATTATTCACATTTAGTTGGTGTACCTTACATCCACCATTACTACCAGAGAGATCAATGTCCGAACAGTGCTCATCTTCGTCACCGGTGCAAAAGTCTCATCATAATCGATGTCATATATCTGACTATACCCTTTTGCCACCAGACGAGCCTTGTAGCGCTCAACCTATCCATCTGGATTCTGCTTCATAGTGAAGACCCACTTGTATCTAACTGCTCTTTTCCCTTTTGGTAGTTTTACTAACTCCCAAGTATGGTTCTTCTCATGAGCCCCTAGTTCCTCGTGCATAGCCGCTTTCCACTTTGGGTCCTTCTTAGCAACCTGTCAATTGTTAGGTATAATAACAGAGTCCAATAATACAATGAATGCTCCATGTACAATAGAGATGTTAGAATATGATACAAACTAGGCAAGATCCCAACCATATCTATCGGGAGGATTTTTCGCATTGCTGCGAGTAGTCCTCCATACTGACATTGGTGTGGGAGGAGTAAGGAGAGGAATGATATCACCTTGAGAGGAATCTAGTAGTGGTGTAGGTGTCTCAGGAGTCGGGGCAGACGTTGGCAAGGGACTTGGCACCAGTGGCACTGTAGGTACTGTTCCTGTAATCTGTTTCCCCTTCCTACTATAGGTAAGTAGCTCCCCTTGAACCGTGGGCCTAACACCTCTTGTCTCCTTCTCTTCTTCTTCTTCATTCTCCTGCTCCTCCTCAACTAGTTCTTCCTCCTAAGGAATCGATAGAGAAATTGATTTCTTGGCATTATTCTCCACTTTGTTAACCTGCCTCTCACCATTCTCCCCCTCTCGCCTCATACTTTTAGTATCGGGTGAGTTACCAACTGATGAAGTTACCTCCCGGGTGTAATATGGTTCGAGTTCTCGAAAGTGCACATCTATGCTCACAAACAACCTATTCTCCACTGGGCTCTAGCAAACATATCGCTTTTGAGTAGCAGAATATCCCATAAAGATGCACTTTACCGCTCTAGGGACAAGCTTCCCGACGGATGGTGAGTTGTCCTTCACAAAGCACACAGCCAAACACCTTTAGTGGAAGCATCCTACCATTATCTCCCCTCAACGTCTCACACGGAGACTTCCAATCCAGTACTCTCGAGGGTAATCTGTTGATCAGCTGAGCTGCGGTCAACACTGCTTGCCCCCATAATATTTCTGGGACATTCATGGAGATCATCATGCTTCTAACAACCTCTAAAAGATGTCTGTTCTTTCTTTCTGCTACCTCATTCTGAGGTGGTGTATATGGACATGTAGTCTGGTGTTGTATTCCCTAAGCTAACAAGTATTCCCCAAGCACTCTGTTGGTATACTCTGTCCTATTATCAGATCTTAATACCTTTACCACTGCTCTGTATTGAATCTGAAAGTACCTATGAAAGTTTTGGAAGCAACAAAACACTTCACTCTTATTTTTCTTCAAGTATAACCAAGTAACGCGAGAGAAGCAATCAATGAAGGTAACAAAATACTTGTGTCCATTCATAGAGCTTGTGGAACAAGGCCCCAAAATATCTGAATGTATTAGGTCAAATGCATGAGAACTCCTATGACCAGAACTAACATAAAAGCTTCTAGTAAGCTTTCCAAACTCACATGCATCATACACAAGTTTCTGTTTATTTACTTTCTCAAATAAAGATGGATACAACCTACTTAAAACACTAAAGGATGAGTGTCCCAAGCGCTGGTGATGAAGCATCAATACACTCTCAGCACTGATATCAGATCCTACTCCTGCTCTCTCTACCATTGACACTAATGCTAAATCCAGCCCTTCACGATCTAGGTACCACAGTCGGCTACTCTATGTGTCAGTCCTAAGTCTCCGTCTTATCCCCTTGTCCTGGAAGATCACCTTGGAAATGTCAAGAGAAATAATGCATTTTAGTTGGAGTATGATAGCACTAATGGACAAAAGATTGACTGGAAAGGAAGGAGCATACAAAATATTGGAGAAAGTTACAGAACCTGTACAATTAACTATACCCTTACCAATCACTGGCTGAAATGTACCATCAGCTGTTTGGATACTATCAGCCGATGCTAGGTGAGTATATGATGAGAACTCACTAGCATTACCTGTCACATGTCGAGACGCATCGGAGTCGACTATCCATTCTGATGATCTATCGGGAGATATAGAAGCAAGAGCATGTATGTCATTAGTACCTTTGGTCGGATGAGCAAAAGTAGCAGTGTTGCCTCTGGCGAAGAATGAAGTGGATGCCTACTCAGTCCCACTCCTCCTGTCTCCATCTCCTGCTACTCTCTGCTTCCTCTTGAGTATCTCTAGGAGTGCATGATCCTCCTCAGTAAAGACCATCTCAGCTGCTTCCTCTCCCTCTGTTACCATCAGATTTACCCGGTTGCTTGCTCCTCTTCTACCTCGTCGACCCCTACGGCCACGACCATGGCCTCCGAACTGTCCACGTCCACCTGAATCTCCTTCCTTGGGTGGCTTGGTACAAGCATGACTGAAATGACCCACTTCACCGTAGTTGTAGCACTGTCGAGTTTCCCCCTTAGATCCAGTGTTCACAGAGTTGGAGGCTACCAGTGCTGACTTCACCACTGGAAGTCCACATGTCCCTGTCTGTAGCCTAATACGAGTATCCTCCTGGATCATGGCCGAGACTGCCTCCTCAAGTGTGGAAATCTTTGGCTGAGCTAGCAACAATGCAATCCTCTGAGCAAACTTTGATGCCAGTCCTTTGAGAAACACCATAGTCCTTTCCTATAGAAAGGCCTCTTGTTCCTTGCACTCTGGGTCCTTGTAGCTCGTCAGAGGTGAGAAGTGATCATAATCTAGCCACAGGCGCTTCAACTCTGTGGCATACTCCTGTACAGTCCTCTCTCCCGGGACTGTGGCATCGATCTCTCCCTTGATCTGGAACACCCTCAGGTTATTCCCCACCCCATCATAGGTCCTCCTTGACTTCTCCCAGACATCATTCACCATCCCGATGCTATCTACTGTGGCTGCGATCGACTGGACCAAAGAGTTAAGGAGCCAGATATACACCAACATATGAGTAGACTTCCAGAGCCCTCAGCCGGCTCTGTCTTTTCTCCTGTCAAGTACCCCTCCAGGTTCCTCCCTACAAGGGTGTATCTCAACCGCCATAACCAACTCAGGTAAGTAGCTGGTCTATCAACCTACAGATCGATGAATGGAAGCTCCAACTTTGTCTGTGGCCTTATCGCGCTCTCACCAGTCGATAACTTCATCAGCTGCATCAAAGTTGAGACCTCCGCGTTGTTCAACTTCTTGATGATCTCCTCCATCGATCAAGCTCTAAATCAAACACTTATTGTGCGTAGTAAAAATTTCGTCAGCACTTCTGCTGCACAACAAGAGTATGATCTTAACTAAATCCTTATTTCTCAAAGAAAACAAGAATCGAAAGTGATATATCTTAACAATGTGAGATATACACTCTTCCTCTCATCAGTTCTAGGACTGAAATGTCGAGGGAATCTAACAAGATACACACCTAGATCTGGATATTCCATATTACGGCAAGATCCTCTTCTCTGACAAAATTAGCAGTGGGAACCACGGTGACGGCGGCTCATCACCAGGGCGGCGGGAGTTGGCAGCGGGCCCACGGTAGTGGTGCGTGCCAAACAGGTGCGGAGCGGGGAGCTAAGGCGTGAAGCGCCAAACACCCGCCCCCCCCCAACGTCCCCCCCCCTCTCCCATGGCGACGGTGAAGGGGGAGTTGGCGCTAGGCGTTCAGGGGTTTTTAGGGGTTATGGAGGGAGATGGGGGCTAGAGTTTTGGCTCTAATACCATAATGAATTGAAAAACCTTATCTTATTATGAAATATCTTAGGCTTACATAGGCCCTCATAAACTTACAAATAGCCCCCTTCATATTATTAATATGTCAACACATTGTGCAGGGAAAATAATGATGCCTTTGATGCCTGATAAGTTCAATTGAAGCGCATTCAAGATTTTGAGGACATTGTGCAGGGAAAATAATGATGCCTTTGATGCCTGATAAGTTCAATTGAAGCACATTGGGCATGTTACTCATTCATTCTTCTGTTTCCTTACTCTTGTTGAAATGGAGATAATCAGATTTTGTTCAAAACCCAATAATACTTGTTTGTTGTCTTACATGGGTTTAGTGCAACTGCTTAATATTACTCCATTGTTGTTTAGTCCTATATCTTACAGTACTGCAGGGTCCAGGTCAAATCTGATTAGGTTTGTGATTATTATGGTTAGTTTAGTCTTTAGAGATTTCAAATATTTTCATAAGCATAAGATAAAACAAACCTTTCTTGTTTATTTATGTTAGGACAAACCCAGGGCCTAATAGAACAGGATGGCAGCAATAGTAGAGCAAAAGTAAAGATAA